TTATTCTTTTCTTAGCTTCATTCAATGTACTGTTATTTCTGACTCATGTTTGAACTGATGTACCCTATGTCTGCTATTAATAGTGAAGCTTTCAGTATTTTGCAGACTAATAAATTGTTTTCTGTTTCATTTTATTTTATGGGTGTTTTGTTGGACTAATATTTTTATTCATAATTTCTTATGAGCTACCGTAAGATTTATAAGTCATTACTGATACTTAATCTTACCAACTACTTTCTCTGTATCCAATTAAATTTACTAAGTATTCATCTTTTAATCCTATCATGTTGTAGTTAGAATATTTTGATTACTTTATTTAATTTGCTTTTTGACTTGTGACCATTATTAGAAATACTTTAGTTTTCCTTTCATGTAATATGAGGGATTTTGTTGTTGTTGTTTGTTGTTGTTCTGTTTTTGTTTTTGTTTTGCCAGTCCTGGGACTTGAACATAGGACCCTGATGCTCTTCCTGAGCCTCTTTGTATTCAAGGCTCTACCACTTTAGCAACAGCACCACTTTCAGCTTTTTCTGAACAGTTTTATTTTTCCTTGAAATAAAATTTTCTATTATAAATATAGAACAGATTTTTACAAACAATTCAGAAGTGGCCTTAGCCAGACAATATTAAATAAACCCAGTGTAGCATGGATGAAGGAAAGTACATACAAGCAGTGTCAGCATTCGAAAGCCCTGTGAGAGGTACCTAAGGAGAACAACTCCCAACAAATTCTCTTGGAGGAGGTCTGGTAGGCAGGGCATGTGATCACACAATTAACAGTCCAAAGAGATAGCACTTGTGTGTCAGAAGAGTGCTGTGGTAGAGTTCTATTTGCCTATCTTTCTCTTGTCCCTTTTTATTCTAAGACATCTTGGATGCCACATACCCCATGAGAGGAAAAGACAAGTTTCAGAGCCTGTTCAGAAAGCCTCATGAGCCTGATTATATTCTTCCATTCCTGTCCTCACACCCTTTCCCTTCCCACTTCTCATTTCCCAGAGGGCCTTAACCTGCCATGAGCTAGAGTGAGTTCTCTAAAGGGTGTTCCACATTCTCTTTGCAAGGAACCAAACACATTGTAGCAAAGGCCAAGGTGTGCCAAGAGCATGGGGAAAGGGGAACAAACAGGTAAAGAAATGCATAGGCAGAAACATGAGAAATAAGGTAGCTGATACCTGGCCCAAGATACATAGAAATGGAGTTTGGTCCATTTCTAGCAAGATGGAGGAAAGCCTCTGGGGCTTGAACTCAGAGCCTGGGCACTGACCCTGAGCTCTTTTGCTAACTGAAGGCTAGTGCACTACCACTTTGACCCACAGAGCACCACTTCTGATTTTCTGATGGTTCATTGGAGATTAAGAGTCTCACAGACTTTTCCTGCCCAGGCTCTCTTTGAACTGTGATCCTCACATCTCAGCCTCCTGAGTAGTTAGGATTACAAGTGTGAGCCACCAGAGCTCAGCTTCTGGTTATTTTCTATTTGGAGCTGTTCACAAAAAAAAATTAAAAAGCTTATTGACGATAGGCTAGGATTACAGGCAAGAGCCAACGGGCCCTGGGTTGTAATATGAGTTTTTATAAATTAAAGACAACAAAAAACAAAAACAACTTGATCTCTTCTGGCACTACAAAATGAGTTTGGAAAAATTCTATTTCCTATTTTCTGGAAAAGAGTATATGTAAATTAATGCTATTTTTTTCTTAATTGCCTAGAAAATTTAACAATAGTCATGTGAATCTAGAACTTTGGTGGAGATAGAGTTTTTTTGTATTTAATTTCTTTATTGTTAATCAGATTTTCTATTTTTTTCTTGTGTCTATTTCCTGTTATATTTTTCTAGGAATTTTTTTTAGTCCGAATAAATTTTTCAAGTACTTGCTTATTCACTGATTTATTAAAATAGACAATTATTTCAGTAATGTCTTGTTTCCAGGATTAGCAATGCCCCACTCTCCCTATGTTCAAACCTATCTCCTTATCATTTTCATTAGCTTTTTCAGATGAAAAAGAATGGGGCTGTGTTGATTCTTTCCACTGGACAATTCTCATTTTCCATATGCATCTTTATTTGCTTTTCCACTTTTTGTCTTCCTGCTTCTCCTTCTTCATTTTTTGTGTGTAATCATTTTGCTTTTCTTTCCTCTTTTTGGAGGAGGAAGGTTTTGATATGTAGTCAAACTGGCTTTCAAACACTTGTGATCTTCCTACTTCAGCTTCCCATTTCTGGGATAAAAGACATTATATATCACTAGTGCTGGCTGCCTTTTGCTTCTCTAGGCTTTTGAAACAGAGTCATTCATGTAGTCATTATTCATTCCTATTGGCTCTTTTCTAAGCATTGTTTAATTTTAACACAATATATTTTATTCTTAGTTTCAAATTTTTATTTGACTTACCATATGATTTAATTTTTGTTTAGTGGTGTATTTGGAAATGTCTTGCTCAGTTCTCATACACTTGAGGATTTTATGGTTATCTTTTGTTACTGATTTTTTTTGGGGGGGGCCAGTTGTGGGGCCTTAACTCTGGGCCTGGGCACTGTCCCTCAGCTCTTCAGCTCAAGGCTAGCACTCTACCACTTGAGCCACAGTGCCACTTCTGGCTTTTTTCTTTTTGTTTATGTGGTGCTGAGGAATCGAACCCAGGGCCTCATGCATGCAAGGCAAGCACTCTACCACTGAGCCACCTTCTCAGCCCTTGTTACTGATTTTCTAACTTATGCTATTATATTAAAAAATACAACGTTTTATTTCAGTCTTATGAACTTTGTTGATACTTTTTGTTTTTTCATGGTTTCATATAATCACAGTTTGGGGTACACTTGAAAACAGTTATTGTCTACTGACTTAAAGTACCAGTTACATCACAAAAGGAGGTAACATTGATGATCAATTGTTTAGATTTTCTACATTCTACCTAATTTTTTATTGCTTTATAAGTTACTTATTGTAGGAATACAGTTATTGTTCTGATAAAAAAATTATATTTTTAAAAAGTTAGTGAAATGTATTAAAATCACTTAAAATTATTGTGAAAGCTTAAACATACAAAAGTAGTATATGTATTTCTAGTGTTCTTTCTTCCTGCTAACATCTACCAGTTTTTATCTGAGATCCCATTCCTTCTGTCTGGAGTTGTCCACTATTATGAGTCTGGTGCCAATGGAAAAACATTCTGAAAATCTCTTAATTTTCTTTATTATTAAAGGCTATTTTCACCAGCTAAAGATATTCCTTAGGTCCTATGGAGCTCTTTAAAGATATTCTGTTGTGTTCTGTTTTTCATCATCTCTCTTGAGAAGTAAATTAGTTCTGTATTTTGGTCTTTATATCTTGCTGCTTCATTTTGAATTTTCTATTTTTATTTTGTCTTTAGTAATTTGACTATAATGGGCCTAGATATGATTTTGTAAGTCTTATGACAGTACTGCTGCTTGATCTCAGGGCTACATGCTCTCCCTTAGCTTATTTGCTCAAGACTGGAAGTCTACCACTTGAGCCACTCTTCTATTTCCAGCTCTTTTGCTTATTAATTAGAGATCAGAATCTCATAGACTTTTCTATGCAGGTTGGCTTTAAACTGTGATCCTCAGATCTGAACATCCTGAGTAGCTAGGAATATAGGCAAGAACCACTGGCACCTAACAATATTCAATCATTTTTTTTCCCTAGCAAGATTGATCTGAGAATATGGTACAAAATAAACTCAAAGGCTAGAATCTGAAGCTCTACGAAGGAAATTGTTAAAATTGTCAAGACTTATATTTTGCTTTTGAACTGTGGTAACATTCTTGAAAATTGAAGATAAATTTGCTAACGATGATGTTTTGTAAAGGAATTTGACAAGGTTTAGTGATAGTTTAGATGAAGGGAGAAGAAAGTTCGCAAGATGTTCAGTTAGAGTCCCTGTCCGGGAAAGGACATCTGTGTACAAGTGTCATCTTTTTTCTTCACACAATCTAGGGATCTAATGAGATCATGAGGGAAGTAACTAATGCCCTGACTGATTTCACATTTTTAAGAACTTCTCATAAGAACAAGATCTTAAATTTCAAATAGAAAAGCTAGGGCTGGCATTTGAATATATACATTCTAGCGAAAGAAAAAAAACCATTTTGGGAAGTCATGCAGATGGTAAATACATTGTATAAAGATTCTGACAGCTTCCTAAAGTATCTGTTTTTCTAGTTCAAGAATTTTGTGACATCTTTATCTAAAGCATGAGTTTAAACATTTGTAATTTATGATAATTGAGTTGCTATTTTGAGCTGCTTCTTTTCCTTAGAAAGCAGAGTCTTTTAGGATTATCAATAATCAGGGATTGAATTTGAAGAACAAACAGGGTTTGATGTTGGAAACACAGGTTTTATGCAGACCAGACACACCTAGGGTAAAAGCAAAGCAATCCTGGATGCTTACCATTCCCCTCTATGTCTGATCAAACTACGGAGTCAGTTTGACAGGTCATAAAAACAGTGGAATAGAATGAAAACATCATAGCTGTCTGACTCACAGATAATATTTAAACCCTATGAGGAGTAATTTGCTTCTTACTACTTAGTTAACCACTTCAGAAAATTAGAATAATAATGATTTCATAGGCCATGAAACTAAGATAAAAAATAATTCATACCATAGACACTGTGTATGCATTCATACATCATAAATGGCCGGTGATATTGAATAACGCTTCTTCCTATTCATCACTTATTTTCCATCTCAAAATTCTGCTCCCTTGTGAAACATCATGTTGGAAGTAGAAATGATAGCACTTTGGGGTGATAGTGACTACCAGGAAAAACATTCAAAAATATATAAAGGTTTTATATGTAAGGTATGGCAGTGACAAAGGTGAGGTGTTTGATTGGGCTAGAAATTTCAGGAAATTTCATGTGTACAAGTAGGGATATAAATAACCAGAATGGATGATTCCTCATGGACCATGAGGCATGATTTGCTTTCATTTCAGCTACCATCTTGCCTCTTTTCTGTTTCACCAGTGAGAAGAAACTCATCACAGATGCCCTAAATAAAAACCAGTTTCTGAAGCGACTGGACCCTCAGCAGATCAAAGACATGGTGGAATGTATGTATGGGAGAAACTACCAACAAGGCAGTTACATTATTAAGCAAGGAGAACCAGGAAATCATATCTTTGTGCTGGCAGGTAGGCCTTACAGATTTTTCCCATTATGATATGACATATGTTTCATCTATTATGATTTTTTACAAATGGTTCTAAAAACACAGAATCAGTTGATCTATTTGTAGAAAATGTAACAGATTTGAATTCATAAAATGGCAGCATTATTGATCAACTTGTAATGGTAATATTTATCAAATGCCTTCTGCATATCAGGCATTGTATTGCCTGATATATTGTCAACAGAGATCTCATTTCATCTCCCACTAACCCCACAAGAAAAGTGCTATGATTTCCCTCCATATTGCTATTGGAGGATATTACCTTCGTATTACTCATCCAAGGTCACATAGCTGAGAAAGTAAAGCTCAAACTCACAATCAAGTATTTTGCAATCACAGTACCACTTATGGATAAAAAAAAGTATAGTTGCTTATGTTGACATGATTAAACAATCACATCAGGAAAAAAAATTGTTTTTGTGGTTCTGGAAACTTTGGGTTTTATATACCAATGGTCTTAAAAGATAATTTAGATACATTTAATCAATAGACAACTCAAACACAATGTCTTCCAATTAAAATGTGTTTTCAGAACTATTTGTCCCTGATCACTTGAACATGCTTACATGTTAGGAAACGTAGAAAAGATCAAAGTTTCATTTTTGAAATGTGTAGATCTTGTGATGGTTAGTTAAGAAATTATTATTAGTATTGTTGTTGTTATTTAGATATAGAAGCAAGAAATTATCTCAGGAGAGATTAAGGTTATTAGATGCCTTGTCAAAATCTGAGTTGCTCCTACTTTTTGAGTCTGAGGGAAGAAAATTAAACTGACTTACCCAGAGAGTGAGATAACCTGAGATTGGTTGTGACATGTTTTCCATGGTAGTTCTGAAACACCCAAGTAATACCATATCTGTTTCCTAGGGGTTTTATTTGTTAAGGCATGGGGACAGAGGTTTGTCTAGGTAAACAAGTTAATAGGCATATATTATCCTATCTGCATTGTGGGAAAGCTTATTTTCATATCCTTGGATTCTTTAAACATGTGAGCTTTACAATTACATGTGTATTTATTCCATATAATCGTATAATTTTCATAGGCAACTCTAAAATTCTTCGATCACTTGCAAGCAAATGTTCAAGCAGTGAATTTACAGCCTGAATTTATGCAGTCTTCAGATTTATAGGGACAAGTGTTCCAGAGTAATTGTTGATCCAGACTACTTTTCCTTCTTACAACTTTTCTCTTGGTTATTGCACATTGATTTTAGCAACACTAGAGCATTCTGGCAAGAGAAGATAGGTCATTATGTCAACAAATATTTATGGAACCTGCTAGGAAAAGATGAGAAACTCGTGTCAGCTTGTCTTGTTCCTTGCCAGTAACTCTGATGAAAGGCTTGGGGAGGGAAGAGGTTGGACAGAAGTCAGCATGAATGCAGCTATTGAAATCAAGGCCATAGTACACATGAAAATGAAAATTGGATAGTTTCTTACTTGAATTAATTATGGTGTCATCTAAAGGCTGAATTGCCTGGTTTAATTATCAGGCTGAGCAAATTAATTTAATAATTAAAAATCCTCCTTGATAAAATATACCATGAATAGCAAGTAACACAAGCATATTTAACTTAAGACATTTGATATTTCATGTAATTCTTCAGCAGTTCTCAAGCCCCATGGGTCATAACCCATCCGGAAAAAATCCTTGAAATGCATCAAGAGTTATGGTATCAATTGGACAGTACTACTAAATGGTTTTGGAATCAGTTAGCTGTAATGAAAAACTATTAAAATTTTAATGAAAATCCATTAAGAATTAGTACCTAATCTGTGGGATCTGGAACCAAAGCAGAACTGTCGACTATAAGTTCTATCAAAATACTATTTTCTTCTCTGCCCACTCTGTTGCTCTGGCACTTCAAATAGTTCCTGGGTATGTATGTGGGGTCTCAGATCAAATTTGCCTAGTTAGTGAATGGACTCAGATGCCACAGCACTACTTCATGGAAAGTTAGGAAAGTTAGGAAAAAGTCTAACTCCTGAGCAGAAAGAGACATCACTCCATCAGTTTTCTTCCTTTAAGAATTTAAATATTTTCTTCATTACTTTAATGTGATTAGGTTCTGTTTGAAGAGAAGAAGAGTGAGTTTAGGGCAAAACAATTGTGGAAAGCTTAACGTTAGTCTGCCTTCCTCCAGTTTTTGCCTAGGGTTAGACAGGGGCAAAGCACTCTGGTTAGTGACTTCCTTTTAAAATAGGTATTATATTGAAATGAAACCAAGGTTTAATAATGGTGACGGAACTTGCAGGAATCAAACAGCCAATAAGGAAGGGAGCCAAGACCCAAAACTGGTATTTATCCATTATGACAAGCTGGCATTCCCATGGCCAAAAACTGCGATGTTTTCAGGACATCTGTAATTTTTGAGCTCCTACTCAGCAAGAAATAGTTTTTTTTTTTTTTTTTGGTCCAGTCGTGGGGCCTGAACTCTGGGCCTGGGCGCTGTCCCTCAGCTCTTAAGCTCAAGGCTAGCACTCTACCACTTGAGCCACAGCACCACTTCTGGCTTTTTTCTTTTTGCTTATGTGGTGCAGAGGAATCGAACCCAGGGCCTCAGGCATGCAAGGCAAGTGCTCTACCACTGAGCCACCTTCCCAGCCCCTCAGCAAGAAATAGTTTTATGTGCTACATTTTTCCTAGAGTAGAATAAATTTTAAACAAACAACTTGTCATCCACTCTTTCGAGGAAAGAGCTTTGTTACATTAATAACAGTATTAATCACAGTTAATACTTAAATTGAATTTATGGTGTGCTTCCTATGGTTCTAAATTCCTTGTTTATATTAACTTTTTTAATTCTCATGACAAATTATGAAGTGGATATTATTATTGTTTTTATTTCCATTATCAATGAAGAACTTCAGGAAAGTATTTTTCTCAAGATAATCCACAGACCTGGCCTCACATTGATCAATAACCATTGTATTTGAGTTATGCTGTGTATTCATACATTTAATAATCAAAAGAAAACTACAATTCAAGAAATTAAAATTACATGAAATTCAAAGTTTAATTCCCATAAAGTTTTATCAAAACACAACACACACATACACACACACACACAATATTTTACCTGTATGCTGTGAATGATTTCTGAGTTTCTTATTTATGGGATGTAGGTAGATTTTGATTATTTGTATTTTTCTTAAATTGTACTTCACAGAGGGCCGATTAGAGGTGTTCCAAGGAGAGAAGTTGTTATCATCCATCCCTATGTGGACAACATTTGGGGAACTCGCCATTTTGTACAACTGTACAAGAACAGCCTCTGTGAAAGGTAACAGAAGATGAAATTCCCCAAATCGTTACATGGTATTAAAGTTCATCTCATTAAGTCAGGCTTGCATCCTGGTCCAGTTTTTTTTTTTTGTTTTCCTATTTCTCTTTATATGCTTCATTAATAGAATTGTTATGGCTATATTAGAATTTATAATGAAACACCTAAATCAATTGAAAAAGACAGTTTCTCTCATATACACTTATATGTCATAGGAAAATACCTTCAAATTGGCAAATTCCAGTATTTCTTTAATTACTGTTACTTTGCTTTTTTTTTAACTATGTAGACATCTGCCTTTGACTTGTCCTGAATGATTCCTTCCTTGTCTCCATGAGTTTCTGACCATATTATGAACCAGAAAAATTAAAGCAATGAAAATGTGTGTATATATACACACATTGTATTTACACACACACACACACACACACACATACACACAAATATATATCTCAAAAAGGATGTCAATTCAAGTAATGAGAATTTATGTGAATGAGCTTTTCAGTTAGTTTATTAGCTTCTTCTAGGATTCTTGTTTTTGTATATTAATGTTATTATTACAAATTCTACAGAATTATTCAGGTATGGGATGTAGGTTGGGTTATGTGGATTATCACTGTGAACTGTTTGAATAAAACTCAGATTCCAAGTCTCTACTCACATTGAAAAAGAATTTCTGGCCAGTGGCCTGGGGAATTTATATTTTTAACAACAATTCTGAGATCATTCCAATGCATTCTAAAAGTACAATTACCAGAGCTTAGGGTTATTATTCTTTCTTTTTTTATGGTGGTTTGTGGACAACAGGGCTGGATGCTCTTCTTGAGCTTCTTTTGCTCAAGGTTGCTCTATCACTTGAGCCAGAGCTCCACTTCTGGCATTTTGGTAGTTTATTGGAGATAGACAAAGGAAGAGGCAACAATGCTCAATAGGAAATGTACTCATTACCTTGCTCATGTAACTGTAACCCCTTTGTAATGTATTTTTACAATAAAAAACGTACCAAAAAAAAAGAGTCTCATTGATCTTTTCCCCTGAACTGGCTCAAACTGCAATCCTCAGATCTCAACCTCCTGAGTAGCTAGGATTACAGGGATGATTCACTGGAACCTGACATCATCATCATCATCATTATTACTTTTTGAAGTAATTGTACAGAGGGTTTCAATTCAACATGTCATTTTTTATAATTTTTAATTTAATTCAATTTTATTATAAGGGTGATATCAGAGGGGGTACAGTTACGTAAGTAAGGTAATTGAGTACAGTTCTTATCAAACATTGTTACCCCCTCCCTTATTCTCCCCCACTTTCCCTTCCTCTCCACTCTTCTCCCCCCCAAGTTGTAAAGTTGTAAAGTTCATTTGTGAGTACCACTGTTGTATTGGTTCACCCATTGTCCCTTTGTCTTACTACTTTGTTATTTCCTTTTCCTTCCCCAAACCAGATAAACATATACACAAGACATGGGGTATCAAAATCAAAAACAGTGGTAAGAGGTGATAAGCCAAATGGGAAAAAAGAAAAAAAAAAAAAAGAACTTAGCTGGGCGCCGGTGGCTCATGCCTGTAATCCTAGCTACTCAGGAGCCTGCGATCTGGGGATCACAGTTCAAAGCCAGCCCAGGCAGGAAAGGCCATGAGACTTATCTCCAATGAACCACCAGAAAACTGAAAGTGTCACTGTGGCTCTAGTGGTAGAGCACACACCTTGAGCTGAAGAGCTCAGGGACAGCACCCAGGCCCAGAGTTCAAGCCCCAGGACTGACCAAAAAAAAAAAAAAAAAGAAAAGAAAAAAGAAATAAATGAAATAACTTCACACAATACATTAAAAAACAAAAACAGAAACAAAAAAAATCCCAAATCCCATATCTTGTTTCCATATCTTGCAATTTGTTTAGCTTCATTTTATATGGTCATATGTACATAGCCATTGAGCTATTGTACTCTGCTAATAGGACCATCCTAGACATATAATAATTATTACAAACCTTGGAGCCTATGTTTCTTTGGGTCTGGCTTACTTCACTTAATATGATTTTTTCCAAGTCTTTCATTCCCTTAAGAATGTGTATATATACATTTTCTTGATCCATTCATCTACTGAGGGGCTTCTGGGTTGGTTCTATATCTTAGTTATGGTAAATAATGCTGCAATGAACATACCTGTGTTGGTAGCTTTAGTGTGGCCTGTTTGTGATTGTTTGGGTAAATGCCCAGGAGTGGTATTGCTAGATTATTGGGGAGCTCTATGTTTAGTCTTTTGAAGAACCTTCATACTGCTCAACATGTCAATTTATGAATACAATGCATCTATACTCATAAATTAATGTCACCCTCTGTATACTGTTTTTTTTTAGAATTTCTACTGTTGATTTATTTCCATTTGGGATTTTATGTTTTCTTTTAATGTCTTTCTATAAAAATATTGTCCCCTAATTTTTTGTAGTCTCTTAAAATTATTTGCATGTGTTTTATATGTAAGTAATCATTGAGAACAATGTTTAAATAACACAAAAAGAGATGTAAAACACACATAACCCAGAGATTTTAATTTCCAATTCCTGTTTGTGAATGCGTCAATCTAAATTTATACAGGTTTGCTAGTCTTCTCTAATAGAACAACATTAATCTGAATTACATCCTGATGATGTAGTACATAATTGAGAATTGCAAACATTTGCAGATCATTCTAACCAAAACATAATTAGAAAGGAAATCTTCCACTACCCACTTCCAGATCATGGTACATTTCAAAGTCAAAATGATTTATAAAATTAGTCACTTTATTTCACTGCTTCCTTCCATTTACATTTTTAAATGATGCATTTTCCAAAAACTGCAAAATCGTTGAATAATCTTTGGGAATGCTTTCTTTGTTTCTCATTTTGTTAGTTTGATGATCTCCTGCTTTGCTCTATCTTCAGTCCTCATTTTCACTGGTTATTTTTGAGTTAGGATCTATTTTCTTGTTTGAGTGTTTGTGTTGTGCCTGGACTGTGATTTGACTGTTTTCGGTTGTGCTAACAGATGTTTGTCACCAAACCCAACTTCTTTTTGTTGAGATGGCCTCTCCTAAACTTTGCTGCCTTGGCTGGTCTGGAACTATCATCTTCTCAATCTCAGTCTCCCAAAGATCAAGGGTTTCAAGTGTGAGCCATTGGCAGGTGGCTAGAATGATTTCTTCATGCAGTACTAAAAATGTTGTATTGTTTTCTTGATTTCTTCCTTTAGCCATTACCAATGTTAAAACGTGGGCACTTGACCGAGAGGTTTTCCAGAATATAATGAGAAGAACAGCCCAAGCTAGGGATGAGCAGTACAGAAACTTCCTCAGAAGGTAAGAATGGCCCCATGGGGAAAAGTGAAAAGGCATGTAGGCATAGTATAGATATGTGGGTTTAAGCAGAATAAATATTTTATTATAGTTTCTCCTCTGTAAGTATTTTCCATGTTGATAAACCAAGGAATGAAAGTATTCTCTTATATTAAATGTTACTGCCATCAACATTTGTATTTAATTCCCATTAGTTTAGGTCCTGATTTCTTTTTTCCATTATGTTGCCCTTGAATTGATTGAGCCATAGTGTATAGTACTGAAAATAATGTATAAATACTCCTAAATAAATCCACATTGAACGCTTACTTGGCTGATGAGGTTTGAGGTTTGAAAGAAAATAGCATAATGTTGCTTTTCTAACTCTTCTAACAGGTACACATTCCTTTTCTCATTTACATAGTCATACTATTGCCCAACTCAGCATTATTTGTTGCAGTTTAACATGCCCAAATTATTGCTATAACATTTTTGTTATGTCACAATGACACAGATCAGTGGCATATGCTAATTTCAGGAAATGTCTGTACCTCAACAACTTGAAACATCAACTATAGAGAAGCACATGTCTATGTGACTTAGAAAGCCAGTTCCAAGTTAAGGGAAACTTTTGAGACTATAAGTTCCATATCTTAAATACTTTTATATCATTTGTGAGAGTTCTGACCATCTCTGTATTTGTAAGAGATTCTGTAATGAAGTGTTATTATGATAAATGGGAACAATAATAATATTGCACTTCAGGATTTCAAAAAGTAAATATGAAGTTCATCTTAAGTAAAATAGTGTGATTTTTATATTGTATAGCAAGCCTGTGATGCCAATGATTTTAGGGCTGCACAGTGCTTACCCTATAGTGTGGGCTTCATAAACACCTAAGGAATACACTGCTAATCAGTAGAATATTGCAGGTGTTAAGGTATCTCAAGTAGAATTTTCTTGGTTTGCCCTCTCAGCCACAACAATGACTCTTGGCAGTGAGCCACAATAATGACAAGAAAGTGTCTTACCTATCTTCTAGCCAGTACCTTAGTCATCATTCTGTGAGATCTACCTGAATATAGGTAATCTCAAACTCTAACAACCGAGCCTGGAAGGTCAGCATTTAAAGCTAATAACCTACAGTTCTGCACAGACCAAAAAAGAACTTCATCAATAAATCTATGCCTCTGGGTCATGTTTGAATATTTGAGATAAAACTCAAATTGCCCTGTATAGCAGTTCATTCCTTTGGAGCCTAGTATGTTCTGATTTAGTGGCAGGAGCTCAGATAATCTACTATTACATCACTTTTTTCCTTCCTATATTTTGTTGTATCATTCATCAATTCAACAAATATTTATTACCAGGCATTAAGCAATGTAGAATCATTGGTGGACAAGATAAACCTGATCCTTCTTTGCTTTGCTTTGCTTTTCTTTGCTGCTTTTCTTTGCTTGTCCTTTGTGGGGCTTGAACTCTGGCATGGGCGCTGTCCCTCAGCTCTTCAGCTCAAAGCTAGCACTCTACCACTTGATCCACAGCACCACTTCTGGTTTTCTGAGTGGTTTATTGGAGAAAAGAGCCTCAGGGGCTTTTCTGCCCGGGATGGCTTTGAACCTCCATCCTCAGATCTGAGCCTCCTGAGTAGCTAGGATTAAAGGCACGAGCTACCAGCACCCTGCTGATCCTTATTTTCATAGAGGGAAGATAGGCTGAGATTTTCCCTCATATCTGTTTCCCCATCATTTTTCACATGTGATAGGTTTAATATGTAAAGAGCTAAATTTGGACAGGATGTAATATTTTTATAATAAAGTTGTGTGAAATAATGACAAATTTTGGCTATCATATTATCACTTTATCTCTAGGGAGATATGCTAGGGGAACATGTTTTTCTTTGTTTCAGAATATACAATAAGCTCTTTCTTTTCTCCTTTACAATTGTATTCTAAAGTGTATAAGATATGAGTTATATACTCCACATGTAAGTTACAAAGTCACCCACAATTGCACTATTGGGAAATGAAACGAGTACATTGGAAAGACAGCTGCACAACAGCATTCTCAGTACAAAAGAAAAGAAACAAGCAAACTGTCAATTAACCAATGAATTGATAAAGAAAAATACTACCATTTGTACAGTAGAACATTATTTGTCCACAAAAGGAGTGAAATCCTATTATTTGTGCTGATAGAGTTGGTCATGAAGATGACTATATTAAGTGAAATAAGCCACACAGAGGAAACCAAGTTCTACATGATTTCACTCATGTGTTATATCTAAGAGGGTTGAGTACAATGGTGATTATTAGAAACTGGAGAAGGCGGAAGGAGGGATGGAGAAATGTTGATCAACTGAGTACTGAATTATAGGTGGATAGGAGTATGGCGTTCTAGTGTGCTATTTCACAGTAGGATGAACATAGTATTGATCATGTAGTTTGAAAAAAGGTAGAAGAAAGGAATCTACATGCTATTACCATGAGTTACAGATATTTGAGAACAGAGAAACATTTACTTGAATTTAAACAGTGCAAAATGAAATTGCGGAAACGGTATTCACAAGACAATATGTTGGAAATGATTTGTACAACTTCAGGGGAGATTGGGGAAGGAAGGAAATGGGAGAAAAATGAGGGAAGGGGTAACAAGTATGACAAGAAATGTACTCATTTCCTTACTTATATAACTGTAACACCTCTACACATCACCCTGACAATAAAAAAATAAACAGTGCAAAATGATACATGTATAGACATATCATAAAGTGCCCCATACAAATATATAATTTTTATTATTTTATGTATCACTTTAAAATGCATTTACATTTAGAAGATCATAACAGTATCCGTGAAGCTATTGCCCAATCCGAGGAACAGAAAGTTAGCTTAGTTACTGAATTTCTTATGTGTTCTGATACGTCTAGCCTCCCATTCCCCTCCCCTGCGTCATAGAGCAGCTTGAGTGTGTAGCTTAGTATTTTTTTATTTACAATTTTGCCTATAGTTCAATTTTGTATATTTTTTAAGTTTATAAAAATGGAGTTGTTTTTGCAAGTCAATTTATTTTCTACCCAGTATTTTTCCCCCTGAGATTTAGATCTGTTTCAGAGCCTCTTTCCTTGATTCTAGTGCTGAATTATGTTTTTCCACTAGAACTTGTTCCAGCACTTTGCTTTGCAATTACAAGTGATATTGCTGCAAACATTCTTATACATGGCTCTTGGCCTTTTGCTTCTTGGTGCACATGTGCAGAAGTCAGTCCAGAGCTTTATGCTTGCACATAATCAGATCTGATCATGTATTTTTGGAGTCTCATTATTTTTCCCCGTAGGGGTGTCAAGTTTCAGATGACAAGAAAGAAGAAATTGTATCAATAATCTTGAATGAAAATGTGTGAAGAAAAAGAGAACTTTAAGAGCACAATTTAGTCATTATCATTTCTGATTTTTGGAAATAATTGGTTTCAATATTCTATTTCATTTTTTGTAAATTATTAGCTGTACGAAATGTACCTATTACATGCCTCTGGCTATCATTGATTTTTAGAAGACAGTACAGTATGACATTACAATGGTAATAACCACATTCCTAGGACAGAGTCTTGACTTTATTAGGCGGATTCAGATGAATATCTGATCCTCCACCCAAAACAGAGCTCCTTACTCAGTATAACAGAAGAGATACTGAAGTATGGAGAGGAACATATTTCCAGATGTGAGTCACTTTGAAAACCAAAACAAACCAAATGCTTCATTTCCCAAGTTGATACAATATAATTTTTCCACTTTGTAACATCTTACTATTTTCACTTATTTGCTTGTGATAAATATCTGGGATAAATATATATCATGTCCAATGTGCATAAATTTCAATAGTTTATGTGTTTTCCATTATTTGAAAGCTTACTTTGAAAAAATTAAGGTACATAATTGTTAATACCTAAAATAACTTCAGAATCTACATAAAGTAGGTACATATATTTATTGTTTCATTCAAGAAGATAAATGAATAGCTGGACCTTATGGCAGATGCCTGTAATCTCAGCACTTTGGAGGCTGAAGAAGGAAAACTGAGTTTAAGGCCAGCCTGAGCTACATAGTAGGTGAAAAAGAAAAAAGAAAAGGTAATTAACTAAAGATTCTGTAATTAAGTAAAGATTTTTTCTTTTTACTTTTGAAGTGTATCCTTGCTGAAAAATTTACCTGAAGATAAACTAACCAAGATCATTGACTGCTTAGAAGTGGTAAGACATTTTAAAGTAAAATGTAAATTTCATTAGATTTTATCATCTACTGCTATTATTAGAACTGTAAATGAATCAAGAGGCAAAGGTGGTAGATTATCAGTTTCCAGAGATTGAGAGTCATTTCCTACTGTGAAAAATTTTAGTCTAGCTCTTGCTGAATTTGGGGTCCAGAAAAGGTTAGATTCTTTTGAAATTTACCCAAAGAAAGTAGATTTGCATGTGTACGGTGAAAAAGTTGATTTACATATTTTAATCTTTTTAGTTATATTATAAAACTAACCTTCCCTCCACAAGAGGTATTTGATTTTTCTACAATTAGCATCACAATCCCTTGCAGAATTTTCATAGTATAAAAGAGGCAGTGAGGCGTAATTGGGAGCTAGAGCACAGAAAGGGCATGTGGTTGCTTTTGGTAACAAGCCTCTGAATCAGCCTCAGAAACATTCTCTCCTTGAACACTCCAGGCCATGAAAATATATTTACAGAAACTGAACTCAAGAAGCACTTTACCTGTGTGAATATCTACAGGGAAGTGGTGTATTGGAATGTGCTCAAAACTCATTTTAGCACTACTCAGATGGTTGGTTTTAATCCAGGATTTGTCAAGTTGGTGAATAATGCTTTTATGACATGTACCTTGGTTTCCAATGATATGCATTTTATGAAAACCTCTTCAGATTTCAGAGATTAAAATTCAAAACAAATAACCTCTCTAACTTGTTTCGGGGGGTGGGGGCATGTATGCAGAGATGGGTCATGTTCAATGAAACCAGAGTGGCTTTTATGGAACTGAAAGGAGGAAGGGACTGGTGAAAGAGTCATATGGAGACTTGGAGCATTCAAGTGGGAGGAAAATAAAAAAGTACTGCAAGACTGGATGTTGACAGATTCATGCCTCTGTCAATCACACTGAACAACACAAACTAGTATCTGTTGAGAAGGGAGAAGGGGTCATTTTATCCTAAGTGTAAGTGACACCAGTAATGTTCCCATTTACAATTCATGGAAGCCATCCAGCCATTTATCAAGGACAGGTCATGATGACATATAGCATGCCCGGGATCTGCCAGGGGCTTCAGATATGAAGTCATTTTCAAGAAGACTGCTGGCGCAGCATCCCTTGGGATTTCCTCAGTGTGTAACATAACCCAATCACAGATGTTACATATTAATAATTCATCCCAATTTCTGAGGGTGCTTTATGTTAGAAAAGCAAGAGAGACCCTGTATTTTTTGTTAACCAAAGAAATCTGTTTTTAATATAATACTAATAGAGTAGACTCACCAGAGGGAAATTCCATGCTGACGGCAAATATGAAAATTATCATTAAAAATAAATGATAAATTAGACATTTTTTCATGTATAAGCAATCGCAAGGAACATAAAATGGGGGCTCAAACCCAGTGTTAATTAGCACACAATTCATGTATGAGAGTCTCATCTTTTAAACACCGTAGAAAATTTGCTTTCCTGTATCTTAGCATTTGCACACAGCAGCACAGTTTATAAAGAGCTCTTTATTCATACCTGGCAAACAAATGTGTCTCTATAATGTGTGAAAATACTCAGATGAGAAAGTGATGAACAAGAGAGTAATGAGATTCTATTTAGGTCTAAGAAACGCACATAACTTATCAGTATAGTTTGGACTCGTGACCCATCAACATGGTCCTGACAAGTCAATCCCTAATATATAGAGCATAGATGGAGCATCCGCTGAGTTCTCAGACCAACTGTTCCACAAACTGGTTCCATGATCTCTGAGGAAACAGACAGAGTCTGTTATGCTGCCTAGGAATTGAAATGGAAGGATTTTTCTTTGTGTGTGCTGGGAGGTGGGGAAGGGGAGACTGAAGGGATATAGAGAACAGAGAGTCAGAACTATCAAGCAGTTCATCTCATATGTTTAAGATCATTGCATATTGAAGTTCTGGAGCAAAGGGCCCCAATTGTGCAGTAGTCCACTTGCTCTCTTGATTTTTCTTTTTTTCTTTTTGATTGGTTGTGGGGCTTGAACTCAGGGCCTGGGCACTGTCCTTGAGCCTCTTTGTACTCAAGGCTAGCACTCTACCACCTTAGCCCCAGCACTTCTACCATTTTTCTGGTAGTTAATTGGAAATAAGTATCACATGGACTTTTCTGCCCAGGCTGGCTTTGAGCCTCGATTCTCAGATCTCAGGCTTCTGAGTAGCTAGTATTACAGGCTTGAGCCATAGGTGTCTGGCAGCTCTCTTGCTTTTTAGCTTGAGTTGAATAGAGTGTTCTTTCTCAAAGAGCTCACTGTCTTGATGTCTTTCCTGTTCTGATAGAAACACGAGTGGGAATATTACCAATCCTCTAGTGAGTTTTTGGAGTCAAATAAGGAGAATCACAAAGCATGATACAGTTTCAGAATGGATGGTCACAACTAATGAAATGGAAATCACATTGTGGCTTGTGCACCTGGCTGTTGTGCAGTGTAGAAGAAAGAAGAAGGTGTTTCTGTTCCCCTCTCAGGGTGACAGGAATTTGAATGTGTTCTCCTGAGTCATAAGCACAGTGATTAATTGGGATATCACCTGACTGTTACATATCCCTGGAATTTGACCAGTGGCCTTCCTCATTTCTGTTCAACCTGTGTCTTTCACAATGCCCCATTTGTACTAGGGGCTGGGAAAGAAGTAGCGTGCAACATATTCCTTCTTCATACCCATGGTGCCTACTGAAAGGCATATTTGTTGGCACCCATACACTTCTGAGCCCGAAACGGTGGTAGGCATCCCCAGATCTACATTATAAACATTTCCAGTTGGGATGTTTGTGTTCAGTGAAGTGTGAGGTGCACTGGTTTGTTTGTGAATAGAATATATATATATATATATATATATATATATATATATATATATATATATATATATATATATATATATATATATATATGTGTGTGTGTGTGAGAATATATATATATATATATATATATATATATATATATATATATATATATATATATATATATATATATATATATATATGTGTGTGTGTGTGTGTGTGTGTGTGTGTGTGTATATATATATATATATATATATATATATTCAGAGGGCTTCTTCATTGTGGAATTTTAATCATTTTGTTTCCAACTCTAGTCTTCCTTTCTTACAGACCTCTCACAGTGTGTAATCCAGAGAGAGGGTTTTCCTCATTTTAATGATTACCACTAGAAACATAGGAAAGCAGAAATACTTGTGGATGTGGCCACAGTTATCTCAGAGGTGTAGATGTGGGAAGTTCACTAGTCCAAAGGCTGGAAATGAGTGTTTGTGTTCTCTGCCACTATCCTGTCAGTTAGTTGTACTGGGCATACAGTGTCCACATACTCACAAAACAACAAGATGATGGGTCACATTATTATGAGTTTTCATTCTTGTAGATCACAAATTCTGCATAGATGCCTTGCCTTGGAACTAAAAAGCCAGGTACTAAATTAATGCAGAAAAGTTGATAAGGTCCACATAATGTATGTCTGTTTGCTTTAAAATTTTTAACCTATCTTAAACATTGTACTTGAAAACTAAAAACACAAATGGTAACAACCCAAATTGTAAACAGTTTATAAACAACAAGTTTGTATATATAGTTGCAGGATTCATGGAAGTGTGTTCATGTGCGTGCGTGCGTGTGTGTGTGTGTGTGTGTGTGTGTGTGTGTGTGTGTATCATACATCTAGTTATATGTTGACATTTCTTTATAATGAAGATTTCTAGCCACAAATGCATACTAGCAATTCTTAGGGAATCTATCTAAGCTTGCCTATTTGTTTTTCCTCCACATCCTTGTAGTTTTCTTCTAGTTTATATAGGCTTTTTACAGGCAATCTGTATTTAGTCTTTTGCTACACTAACACAAAATGAATGTCTTCCTTAGTAAAAACTAAAATCTTTCCATCTATAGCTGCTGCTGTCTGTGTGCATGGTTTTCTTCTGATCTTCTCAGTCTACCCTGAAATTGATTTTTTTTCTGCCCACACACCAAACTAACTATTCTCATAGCTTTTAGTCATCTTCCTTTAAAACATTTGTGACCAAGCTACAGGCCACAAATCATTACTAGGTCATGAAGCTGACTGAGTAGGAAGACTTTTAAAAATCAGAGTAGTAAACACAAATACTGTTTTGAAAAATACATTTTAATTTACAAGGGTCTACACATGTGCATACTCTTATAAATGCATTGGATGTACATGTGAAATATACTTCTTACTGTAAATCAGAAAAAAAATGCTTGAAAACCATTCCTTTACAGGACATGGCTTCTGGGTCCTTTAAAAGACCCCTTTGCAATGAAACCACAGGGACAATAACCACACTGTTTGCATTTCTCTTTTTGGTCCTGGTGACCACCCTGGCTTGACAAACACTGGAGAGTCTAGCATCATGTCCAGTACTTACCACCATATATTTTGGTCTGACCTATTTCCACAGCTTTGTCTGATCTATGAAGTTACTGTCAACATACTGGGAGGTATTATTCATGATCCTGCTGAAGTTGGGGGTGACAAAGAATCACTCTTGGGAAAAATACTAAGAGGAAAATTGTCTCTCAAGAAACAATAAAGCTCTTTCTCAGTCCCCCTTCAAACATTTTATTTTTAAACCTATCTGGTTGACAGGAATGAAAGCAGCACCTCTGTATACATCAAAGACTTTATCATAATATAAAAACAGTTGAATGGCGCTGCCAAAATTCTCCATGTCTTTCTGATCTGTAGGTAATGGGGACAGAGATTGGGATAGGGACAGAAAAGATTGGAGAGTAGATGATCAGAATCAGGAAAAAAATCTGACATGACTGCAGTTTTAGTTAAAGGAAAGGGATATTAAACTAAGAGAATGAAGACACCTGGACTTTGGTATTGTGATCATCCTTAAGGGTCATAATCAATATCTCTGTAAAACTTGTCTGCAAAGACTTGTAATAAGTCTAAAATGAGAAATACGTGAAGAGGTAAAGGAAGCTAAACAGAATGCAAAGACATTCAGAACGTCCCTGTCCATATGAAATAGAAACATATCTCTTGTTCACATAGCAGTCCAGGGAGGATGTTCCTGCTCAGATCCACATAAACTCCTAGGAACTGAAGCTGATGACTCCTTGGCCATTTCTATCAGCAAGTGGTTCTCAAGATTTCACAGGGTCATTCGTTAAAATAGAGGGTGGGGGTTGTGGGGTTAAAGTTCTGAACATGTCAGCATGAAAGTATTCACAGGCTTGACCTGGATGACCTCTGCCCCAGTTCTTTCAGATCAAAGTTAATTATAGGGTTACAACTAAAGTAGGAACCTGATTTCCCTGGGTGGCCATATGTGCCTGCAGAGGACTCAGGATCAGTTTGTAGCCTCTTCCCAGGCATTACAGCCACCAGATGCCTGGTATATTCTAAACACTCTACCAGGCACATCGGATGTACATCTCCTACTCATCCTCAATGTTAGGTTGTGGTAGGTATATAATCTTAATTTTACTGCAAAGGAAACTGAAGTGCAGTATATAGAACAGCTAAGCAAATATAACTATCTTCATCTTTAGCACAGAAACTATTAATAGGACATTTACTATATGCAAGATGTTCTTAGTGCCCCAGAAAACATTGTCGTTAACTAGTTTATTCAAAAAAGGAAAATGATTCTCCAAAATGCCAAACCCTAATCCCTGCAATGTGTGACTATGCTATAGTTTATGGGTTAAGGGACTTTGAAGATACATAAAGGCTTGGAGCTTTAAATAGGACATTACTCTGAACTGGCTAGGTGAGCTGGATATCAGTATATGAGCCCTAAACAGAGGAGAAATTTCTTGTTAGAGTAGAGGGGCCATGGGTGAGAATTGTACAGACCATTACTAATTCTGTAATTTGGAAGGTCCAGGAATAATATATAGGCCTCCAGGAGTGAAAAGGTAGTCTCTTCTGACAGCTGGTAAGGAAATGGGGACCTCATTCTACAAATGAATTCTACCAACAACCTGAATGAGACTTAAGGCAGATTTTCCATGCACTTCCAGAAGGAAATACATCTCCATTGGTGACTCAAATTTTGCGTTGAGATACCCCAAACAGAGAAGTATAATCAAGCCAGGCTGTGCCTGGATTTTCTGATTCCCAGAAGTTATAATACAATAAAAGAGCTTCTAAGCCACTGAATTTGTGGTCATTTGTTTCAGTGGCAGAGAAAACTAATGCAGTTTTCTAAGTCTTTGAAAGTAAACGGTCTAAGACTTGAATGGTAAATGGATTTTAATTTTATGCATTGATAAGTGGAAGTCAGTGTAGAACTGGGATTTGAAACTAGATAGTTAGATTCAAAATACTTTCCCCCATAAGACATTATACTTTTTTCAATGACATGTTGAAATGTCTTTTAAGTGTGCACGGTGCTACGTAAATAAAAATTTTTATTCACATTAGGAGTACTATTTATTTAATAAATGTGAGTTGGTCTTAAGAGTACATTGACCAGTAAAATAATGAAATTCACTCACACAAAAGTAGTTTAATTTGGAATTTATTTTCACATCTAAATGACAAACAAAGGAGAGCTATTATGTTGTGGTTTATGTCTTTTTAAAAAATTCAACAAGCCCGTTTTATGTGCATAAATAATTAATTAAGAGATCCATTTCAGCTCTATAACTTTGAGACAAGATCCAATTAAAGCAATTTAGAGGCAGACAGTTAAATCTATCTTTTGCTTTCTAAGGTACTAGATTGGTCTTTTTCTTTAAGAAGTGGATAAATTACATTTCCTTGCTCAAGAATTCTCTAGTTTCATAATAATCTGTGAGGGAAAGAAACAATAAACATAAGAAGAAATATGTGAACATTTGAAATTTAATTAAGATAAATCAACCCACAAAATTTCCAAAAACATCTAACTTCTTCATATTGTAAGATGCTGTCTTTAAAAAGAACATGTATGACAGAACTAGATAGCATGTCTATAGGATCTTTGTAGGAGTAATTGCTCTTTAGAGAATTAGAAATTGACACTATCTGTTTCAATATCCACAAGGGATAGTATTTTCAACAACTATGTAATCATTTTCTCTTTTCTAAATGCTTTTTTCTAGATGTAATCTTCAGAGAGTTGCCAATCACTAGGAAGCTTATATTTAGGTGAAAGCTCATTGCATGTTAGTTATGTTTATTTTATTTTTATGATATTGTTCTCCATAGCTAAAATTCAGTGTCCCAAGTGAATTTTTTCTGAAACCAAACAAAACTACAAATGCAATGTAGATAATAAAGTAAGTCTCCTAACCTTTTCTACAGTTGATGATGGCAATTTAAGAAAAGCTTAAGGTTATAATGAGCAATAAATAAAAGAAGCAGGTGCAAAACATTCATTTCAGATGTAAAAGTTCTATTGCCTTTATGTCTTCAGTTGTATGCCTCCACTTGCATCTAACATTTTCTCCTGTCATCCCAATAGGAATACTATGACAAAGGAGATTATATCATTCGGGAAGGAGAAGAAGGAAGCACTTTTTTCATTTTGGCAAAAGGAAAGGTAAATATTAATGTGTATTTACCGTAAACCAAAAAGTTTTATCCATAAATGCATAGCGCTCTTTAGGTTTGTGACACAATAAATCTTCTGCATCTAATGGGCAAAAGAACTTCCTTGGGAGCATTTCCTGGGGTTCTGCAAAAGAGGTAGGTTTTGGGCTGATGCAACAAGAGGCCTGTTCTGAATTACAGCTGAAGAGTAACTCTTTTAGTGACTGACCTCATGCAATTACTCCACTTTCTTTGGGCCTAGCTTCATTATGTATAATGGCTAGGTTATCTCTGAGGTCCTTTATTATCAATAAGTTTATATTTCCCATCAATCCAAGAACAGTGCTGGAATATTATTTCATCCAGCAGACAGGATGACAAGCATGCAGAGAAAGATACAGTCAACAGTTGATGGCTATAAAAGCTATAAAACCAACATGGACTGAGAATTTTATAGTCTGTAACTCAAACTGATTTACATACGGATGCAAATTTTTCTTTACATACATTTGTCTATCAATCAGTGTATCCTATCTACATATCCATCATGTGTTTGTGTCATTGTTCTTTTTCTTAACTTAGTTTTTAAGTAGGTACTGTTCTGTGTTGACTCAGTGTTCCTCAGAGACACAAGGGCATTTGTGAAATATTGAGGAATAGACTCAACTCTTGAGCCCCTGTATCTTTAAGTTGCCAGATAATTTATATTTTATATGTTCTGTGGAAGAGTTTATTATCAGAGTAGGTGTTTTCTTTTGTAATTTTTTTTTGGGTTCGGTCGTGGGGCCTGAACTCTGGGCCTGGGCGCTGTCCCTCAGCTCTTCAGCTCAAGGCTAGTGCTCTACCACTTGAGCCACAGCGCCACTTCCGGCTTTTTTCTTTTTGCTTATGTGGTGCTGAGGAATCGAACCAAGGGCCTCATGCATGCAAAGCAAGTGCTCTACCACTGAGCCACTTTCCCAGCCTCTGTAATTTTTTTTTGTTTACAAAAATGCAACTGAACTTTGAACTGTGCCCCCAGTGAAAGAAAAATATTGACAAAATGTTTCAAACCTTTGGACCAGCTAACACTCAGAACTAATTCTTACAATGTCACCTCCATATGGTCCTTGCGTTTAAAAGAAAGAATTCTGGTCAATAAAGGGGTTGTACTTATTCTCAATATTTTAAAAAGTTAATTCATAAACATAAATGTCAGAAATTCTAATCATCATGAAATAACACTATTACCATGTTGACTTGAAATAATTCTAGCTATAAATAGGTAATGTTGAAGTTTTTGTTTGTCCTTGCCATGGGGTTCTTGTACTTTCTTGGACCATATTTCATTTTAGGATGCCCAAAGAAGTTGTGGTCCTTTCTCCAAACTACATCTTGTATTCCATTTCAGAGGGTGCATAGGATCTGGCTATTTTGTGATACTTGTGATTGTTTGTTAACTCAATTAGACTTTTTGAAATAAAAAAACACCAAACAGGACCATTAATATTTGCTTTGAGGATCTGTAGGAAGGAGCTACTAGATTCATTTTTAAAAGTTACCTTGAAATATGTTATATGTATGAAATCACATAATAAAACCCACCAAACGATTTGAAAAGGAAAGGAAAAACATAGATAGAAGTCTAAAAGAGGGGGTAAATTTGTTCAAAGTACATATATGTGTATATAGAATTACCACAATGAAACACTCTTTCACTATTGATGTATGCTAGTTTAAAAATAGTAAAATAATGTATAAAACCAGTAGCTTTAAAAAATTAACTTCTCTCTTCTTTTAATTCTGTAACATCACTTAGGTAAAAGTCACACAGAGTACCGAGGGCCACGATCAACCACAGCTGATAAAAACCCTGCAGAAAGGAGAGTACTTTGGAGAAAAAGCTCTCATCAGGTGAACCCATGAATTTATATGGATACTTAAAGTCCTTGGACTGTTTTACGTGCATATGAAACTATTTATTCAGAATCGTCAAATTGAGCTACCAACAAATGACAACAGATACCTAGGAATGAAACAAAAATGTTTGGATGGCTTCAAAAAATTGATATGAAGGATACAATTACACTAACTTTGCACAGAAAATCATTGAGAAGTCTCAAGTTTGTTAAGAAAAATAAGGTTGGAGTTGTATTAGGTTTGAGTTTGAAATAAGAGAAATGATTGAATGGGAAACAATTAAAATGGGAAGTGATTAAAATGAGAAAATTCGAAACAAAAACAAGTTTTACAAAACTTGAAATAGTGCCTTACTTAATTTTTGTAATCAAATGGAAACTTCATAAAATTGTGAGGTTTATTTTTTTCCAATCACAGTTACTTAAGTCAGGTAATAGCTTCCCTAACTTTCTCCCAGATTTTCCATCCAGTCCCCACCCACATGTTGTAGTTCATTTTCAATATAGTTTCTAGTGAGTATCATTGCTGCATTTGTTCACCTAAATTGTGATTATTTTAAATCATCATTTAAAAAGCAAGGCATACTTAGGAATTTCTGAAAGTTTTTTATTTTGCACATTTTAGAAACAACTCAAAATACTATATTTGAAATTTGAATTTCAACCTTCAATCTTTTGAGGTATGAGTTCTTTTGCTATTGATCTAACTCATGAAAAAATGTTTTCAATGGCAGATAAATGGCTCAGGGGACACACCGCACTGCCTGAAACTCAGAAAACCTCATGTGTAAAGAAATACACTTTCCTAAGTATAAGTAGCTTCCTGGAATATCAAGCGACATACCTTTTTTTGGAGTGACATATGTTCTTATGCAGATACTTGGAATTACTTAAGATCTCATTTAAAATTGATGCTGTAACTAAATTATTGAGTTCCAGATTTATGCTTAGAGGAAATAAGTTGCATTGCTGTTCATTTATTATTTTCTTGGCTGCTTTATGAAGTCTAGATTTTGCTGATTTGTATGACAGGTTTGTCTAATTTCAGTGAAAAAAAAGTACTTAGAAATTACTTAAAGACAAATTTGATTATTTTAAAATTATAAAGCTATTCATTTTAAAAGCAAACTCAAGTATTAAAATTTTTAAATGGTTATAGCTTATTAAACAATTTATAAATAATATTAAAGTCAGGCTGACCTTTGATTTTTCAGTTTCTAGCTGATAATGGGATAATTTCAGTAAAAGGGAAGTTACCTTTTTTGTAATAGATAATCATCATGTACTATCATCTAAGACTTCAGTATGTCTTTTTAACATTTATAGATTGTTTTTCTCATACTTCTAGACAAAACAAGCTCATACTCAATTATATTTTCTTCCTATGACAAATAGAAAGTTAGATTTAATGCATAAACATTCAATTCATCACATTATTTGAAAACATAAAGCTAAAGTGAATGAAGGATGTTGCAGTCAAATATTTTTTACATTTTTATGCTATCACTTTTTTAGGAATTGCTTACTGTGACTCAGATTCCTTGTATGCTATACACATTCATGACTTGATATGAAATAGTTCCACAAGTTCTTGAATAATTTTATTTGTAGAAATAAATCCATGGCATTTATACAGTTACTGTGAAATAACCTGGAGTAAATGAATATTTAATAGTTATAAAGCATTTGTCAGTGACCACTGTGACACTGACATGTGAAAGGGATGCAATATCTTTTTCCTTTGTCTGAATTCACAAATCAAATAGTTGGTCTACAACCCAAGGCTATGTGTAAGTTCATGGCTATATCCACTTCTCCATGTCTCTTATCTCAACTAATGCTACCTTCCCCAACTTTCTCTCTCTCTCTTTCCCTCTCTCTCTTTAATTACATGCACAAATTGAGCACTATCTACTGTGCCTCTGATCTAAAAGCTCACTAAACTGATGTACTCACTAATATTGTCTAGCCAGGATCTTGTAAACTGGGGAGAGACTCGACCATAAGTTATGCATGATATCAATTAGGCAGACACAGAGCTTCTTTGAAATGGAAGAGATGGGCTATGGGTGGAATTTCTCTTTGTCCTTCACTAAGGTGGTGGGCCTTGAGTGATTCTGTACTCTGCAGGTTGCTATTTATATTGAAGTTGTCCCCCCCAGAGCTTTCCCAATGTTTACTTCTAGGTCACCTACAATGGATCCCTGAACATTGAATACTAGGTAAAAGGTGTACCTTTCTGGCATCTTGAACTTATAACAAGGGGACAAATCTAACATAAATAAGGCTCCTAATAAAAAAATACATTAGTTATATTTGATTCATTGGCCCTCATTAAGAAATTAAACTTGCCATTAGATAATATATAATCCATCCTAAGATGGACTATTCTACTATGCACCTTTAAGATGCTACTATTAACCACACTACATTTTATTATCAGCTGTAATTCATGTACATTACTCATTTCATATTTTAAATCAATAATATTAATTTTAGATTCTATGAGATGAAGCTATATTAGTATTTAACGGAATGAATGATATGGCACTGAACACCATTTGGGGATTTTATTCTCAACAGGTTTATCATATTTTAATTTCTTGACTTTTTCCAGCATATCTCTCTGATGAATTCCTTTTTACTTTGACTTCATGCTAATTAGTTGTTCTTCTTTGATCAAGAGGTAGGTATTTTATTTTGAGTTACACAATGCTAAGAACAACATTCTATACAAAGTTATAGTCAATGATTTCTGTATGTTCCCAGCACAGTTATCTACTCTGAAATTTTGTATACATAACCTTATTGGAATGCATTTCAAATCCTCTCTGTGTATGAGTTTTTACATGTAGACATGTGTGTGTGTGTCTATGTGTAAAAATAAATCACAATGTTAAAAAAGTATAGTGTTTGAAAGTTTAAGTGATGGATGTGACTTTTGTGTCAAGTAGTAGATTCTCTAACAAAGATGAATGTGTGGTTTCTAACTGTATCAAAAGCTGACTTCCCTGCTTTTGTCTACAGTGACGATGTCAGATCAGCTAACATTATTGCTGAAGAAAATGATGTCGCGTGCCTGGTTATAGATCGAGAGTGAGTACATTTATGTTGCTGGAGAAAGCAGACTATTGCTACCACAGAAGACTTGGCCTTCTGTTACTCCAAAGGCTGTTTGGTTTTTTTTTTGTTGTTGTTGTTTTGTCTTTTTCATCACTACTCAGAAATGCTGGCCAATCCTCAGCTGTGAGCACTTCTGATTAAAATTCATGAGAAGGAACTGGGTCTTCTGATCTAATCTGTCTGTGGCACTGGCAGATGCTGGCAGGCTAAATATTTTGCGTGCAAAGTTTGTACATAAATACCAGCCGTAGACTGATTTAAATTCTACATTGTCTAGAGAAATACGTTTATTAATGGCCTTATGGATTTATTCCCATACACATAGTGAATCATTTTTTAAAATTTTTATTCAATAACCTGGCTTAAACACATTATTGATTACTTATTTATACTTTTGTACTGATAGCAACTCAGGTATTTAGGCTCTTGTTCAGGTTTCTCTAGTATTTAATTAGTTGGGTGATAAGGCACTATAAACACTATCTAGGGATTTTATTCTTAACTGGTTAATCATATTTTGATTACTTGACTGTTTTTCTAACAAATCTCTCTGATAAATTCATTTTTAATTTACCTCCTTGCTAATTAGTCTTTCTCTTGTAATCAGGAGAGAGGCATTTGGGAGGAGGTTGTCACTCTAGCACTTGAGCCATACTTTTTCAGTACAGGATTTTTCCCCCCTGATTAGTTACGGATAGGAGACTCCAGGATTTTCCTACTCCGGCTAGCTTCAAACTCCAATCTTCGGATTTCAGCCTGCTGATTAACTACCATTATAGGCCATAATTTGTTTTCTAATGCTGTGAGCAATCAAAATAGTTTTGAACAAACTCTCTCTCAACACATAAAATATTCAGTGACAACTTATATTTCCAGAAAAGCCTAAACATTTGCATTGATTTGTGCCAGGTATCAATATTTTTGTCTTTCTTGGACTTTTTTTTCTGCTTATGTGGTTCTGAGGAATCGAACCCAGGGCCTCATGCATGCAAGGCAGGCGCTCTACCACTGAGCCAACTTCCAGCCCATCTTGGACTTTTTTTGAATAACTTTGATTTTATATCCTTCACCCATGTCAAATTATATTTTTACATGGCATCTTGGGTCTACTAATAATCAGTTAAACATTTTTTGCCTTACTAGATATAATAAAAGAAATTCAAATGTATCAAAGCTGGGCTATTGTCTATGTAAAATCATAGTATAGCCAAACAAATGGATGTACTCATGAGAAGTATCAGAAAGCCAGTGAAATGACAAGAGGTCTTACAAAGGAGTATATTGTCAACTGCTGATTTAATACAAAGAAAATTTCAAACATTATGCCCACTAAACAGCTACTTAATATCTTATCCATAAGCCTCTTACGAATCTATGCTTTCTTCACACTTATTAGGCAAATTCCAAACCTAAAATTATTTCATCTAGAAGCCAAGTGTTACTTAAAAAGTTCGACACAATAATGCTAATGTTTTTTTTTTATTTTTTTTTGTTGGTTGTGGGGCTTGAACTCTGGGCTTGGGAACTGTCCCTGCGCTTTTCAGCTAATATGTTTTAAAAACCTGGCACTTCTTGGTATTACTTAGAATTGTATTTATTCTCCCTTACAGATAAGAAAAGTGAATATAAAATAGATTAAAGAATTGCCTAGCAGTGCATCTGTGATTAAGAAGGATCTATTTCCAGCCTTCCTGAGTCATTTCCATCTTCTCTCTTCTCTTTTCCATTTGGCTCTCATAGCACCTGCTCAGAAAGTGAAGCAATGGCTATGTGGCCAAATGGTCAAAATTGAATTTTATTTTTTGTGTGGGAATGGGGCTTAAAGAATTAACAGGATCTTTCTGAGTAAAGTACAAATATGGAACTCACTTCAGGTGAAATAAAATTCCAAAGAAAAGATGCAGGGCTAGGCAAGTGTCAAAGGTGCTCAGGTAAAGGTAATTTTTGGATGACACTTCTCATGTGGAAAATGTTTTGGTACAATATTGCCTCCATTATTCATTTTTCTATGAGTTTCTTAAAAATACATGTGTGAACTGAATAATATAGGCTGTAGGCTATAGTTTTGAATTGTTAGGACAGAATATATGATAGAGAGGAAGAGCTCTTCATTCTTCATTTCAATCACATACATGCAATGTTTGTATATTAACTCTGTTTTACAGATTATTTGTAAGCTTATAATTTAAAAGTTTAACTTACATGGGTATTATTGGTTGTCTGTATGTTTGGCACAATACAAAATGAAATATGATATGAAGAGAATTTGAGCATCAGCTACAATTAGGTTGTACTACAATTTTAATTTCCTTGGACAGTTAGGGTTATCCCAACATTATATTTATTATTTACATTTCATTTCACTCTGAAAACTATTGGTAACAAATGATATGATCACCCTAGTTATGACTTACAGATTCAATTAAGTTCCTAAAATAATGCTTACAGAGCACCCTGTATATCTAATTTTAAATTTATAATTAATTGTTATAATTAACATCTGTCTTGCCATTCTTCTGCAAGCTTCATGAATACAGCATCATGGCACTCATACCATGAGGTTGCATTGTCAACATCTGACATAGTCCTTGGCATGAGGACAGTGCTTACCAGATGGTGGTTGAATGAAGGGCACCACCTTGAACTGAGATGCAGTGGCTGAAAGCTTCCAGATCTGCATTTCTTCTTTCATAGGCAAGATTTCTAACAAATGCTTAGAATGTTTACAGGGCCAAAAAGGAGAGTTAAAAGTCTAGGTTTTCATTCCTATTTTGCAAAGTTGATAAAACCTGTGAATTTATTGTATGGCAAGAGCTCTAAACAAATGGCAAGTACTACTGGTGATGTCTCCATTACTGATTGATCAAATCCCAAATGAGTTGATTAGTCTGTCCTTCAAACTGTGAATAAATACAGGCTGTGTCAAAGTTACAGCTAGAATGTTGTAGCTATTCAACCATTGCTTTAAGATTAAGGAGCAGACGTAAGAGGCTTTTCTTTGTTGTTGTTGTTTTTAATGTACTATGTGCTTTCTTGTTTCTTTTGTATGGTTTATTTCCTGTTGTCACTGTATTTGATTTTGGTACTCTGATATTGTATATACATTTATCTGAATTAGGGAAGGGAAGGGGAACAGCAGAATGGTGAGACAAAGGACAAGGGGGAAAACAATGTAACAGCAACATATACAAAAAAATGTTGGAAATGATCTTTACAACTTTTGGGGGGGAGGGTGAAATTAGGCAGGAGGGAAAGTAGGAGAAAAATGAGGGAGGGGTAACAAGTTCATTAAGAAATGTACTTATTACCTTACTTATGTAACTGTAACCCCTCTCTATCTCACTTTGACAATAAAAAAATATTAAGGAGCAGAATCTACAGAGACTTGTGATACCAGTGTCACCTACATTTAAAATAAGATGTGTTTATAATAATATTTCAGTGAGTTTAATAGCAAAGAACAAATGTTGTCAAAGGGTAGAATAAAATGAAAACAAAGGCACACAAAAATCTTTTTTTTTTATTTGAAAGTTTCAGCTGTTCGGGAAATCAGAAATCCCACAGCAGTATTATTTTATCTCTTACTGCAGCCAACAAGGGTCACGTTACAGAACAATCAGAAAAGAATGGAAGGAATTTATGGAAGTGAGGCTAAAATGGCAGCCTGGTTCTGCAGTACCTGCTGAGTGATATGAAAGTCAATTAAATGTGTGTAGACGCAGTCAATCATGACAATACATGATTGAGGTGGTACTGGTTTTATTTAGTTTTTATTTAGTTTTAGATGTTTGGAGGTAATATTTGTTTTATTATATACCAGGTGCTTAATGTTACTGGGATGTTTAAAGTAGGTTCTCTACTTTCAAGGTTACTATTTTGTTGTAGAGAATAAAAGTACTCAATAGTCACAAATCAAGGTAGATGGCTAGATGTGGGTATGTGTGAAGCTTTACAAGTATATAACTAAGAAAATGATTCTTTCACTGGGGATTGATTCTTTTCCTCATAGGTAGCCTAGTATACAAGAAGTCCCAATGACAAGGGACTGGATGGGACATTAGAACAGGCATCCAATATATCTGTTATCTAAATAGCATGAGCTAGCATGCATCTTTGAGAAATATTAAGTTAAAGTAAAAAAAATATTGGAGAAGCCGGGCACTATTGGCTCATGCCTGTAATCCTAGCTCTTCAGGAGGCAGAGCTCTGAGGATTGTGGTTCAAAGCCAGCCCAGGCAGGAAAATCCATGAGACTTTTATCTCCAATTAACCACCAGAAAACCAGAAGTGGTGTTGTGACTCAAGTGATAGAGTGCTTGCCTTGAGCTAAAGAGCTCAGAGACAGCACCAGGCCCAGAGTTCAAGCCCCACGACTGACCAAAAAACAAAATATTTATATATAGTGGAGAACTTAATTATGAAAGAATGTTAAAGGTAACAATGCTTAATAGGAAATGTACTCATTACCTTACTCATGTAACTGTAACCCCTCCGAACAGTATTTTTACAATAAAAAATATAAATAAATAAATAAAAATGTTAAATGTGGGAAATGGTCAGAGACAAGAAATGTTTTAAATTTTAACATACATAATCTAATGCAATTAAACAATATTAGAAGAATCTGTAACATTTGCTACCCATAGATTCAGAAAACACATCAGATAAACTCCTTTTCACTGTCTCAAAACAATACAAAGCCAAAACAAAGAAAGAAAGAAAGAAAGGAAAGACTGTTGAGAAACCAGAACTGCAAACAGAAATCTGTAGAAAATGTTTGATCTTCTCACTGATAACTGTTTTCAGAAACTCAAAGGATCAATGTAAACTTGTGGCAACTATTCTACATTATTACAGCCACTTTTGATATTCCATAAATGATTTTAAACAGTTATGAAAGCCACAAATAACTGAAGTTTTGGGGAGATTAAGAATAGCAATTTGTTGTTTTAAAATATACCATGTTTAATATACTACAATGTTTAATACACTACACAGAATAAATACTGCATTACCTTTAAAAAAAGAATAGCAATTTGTATGGCCATTATCAGAACAGAGCCATTTATTTATTTGCTTGTTTGTTTTTTTGTTTAGAACATTCAACCAAACTGTTGGGACATTTGAAGAACTCCAAAAATACCTCGAAGGGTATGTGGCCACCCTGAACCGAGATGACGAAAAGAGACATGCAAAGTACGTGGGGAGACATTTTCCTATTACAGATTTCACTTCTGCTGGCAGATAAGGATGGGGAAGGGATGGGGAACTTGGTTCTGCCAAGGAGCTGTTTGGATATTTATAACATCATTGGAGGGCCATACAAAATTAACCATACAGACAGACAAGGAGAATCATATGAAATGCTTGCCTGTCTTTCCTTTCATATAAACACCCCTACAGAGTAACTTCAATTTTATCTTACTAGTTTAAATTATCTTAAAGGAGCTATACAAAAGGGTTGCAATTCAGTAAGTCAGTTTACAATTACAACACGTCTTGATCAGTGTTACTCCCTCCATCATTCTCTGTCATCTATCCAAACCCTACCCACCTCTCTGAAGTTACCTGGATCTATTTTTGCATATGTACACTGAATGTTGTGGCTGGATTTGCCCACCCTTCCTCTCTCCACTCATCTGACACTTCTCTCCTCCTACTTCCCCCCCCCCCCAACAAAACATGTTTCAGCTTCCTATTATTCATTTTGTTAAGCTGTAACTTAGTGGTTCAAAGGCGTTAGATCATTGGCATCTTCCCCTGCATATAACATACACAATTTGTTTGTGTATATATGTTGCATATGTTTATAATTTAGATCTGTCTTCCAGATGTGGGAGAAAACATGCTGCCTTTGTCTCTCTGAGCCTGACTTATTTAATTTGAACTTAATTTTTTCAAAGTCCATCTATTTTCCTGAAAATGTCATAATGTTATTGTTACTGAGAGATGAATAAAATTCCATTGTGTATGTGTTTGTGTGCATGTGTGCGTGTTTGGACCAAAGAAAGGTGATATATATACATAGATATGCATATATATCATATGGAGAATATATAGAATATATTAAATATATAATATAATATGTAGAGAATATATATTTTCTCTAGTCATATATATCACCTTTATCCTTTACATATTCTTTTATATATGATATACCACCTTTATATATATTCTAATATATATCATATATATAACATATAGATATATTTATATGGAGAGAATATATATATTGAATATAGATAGATAGAATATTCTATACAATAGAGAAAATATCTATTGTATAGATATAAAGTATCTATTGTATAGATATCCTGTCTATTTTAGGGCATCTATTTATGGGCTGTTTCCATAAGTTGATTATGGTAAATAAAAATAGTGCAGCAATGAACATGGACTTTACCAGGAAATTCTTTGGGAACTTTTAAATAGTTCTTCTACAAACAAGGTACTTCTTACCACTCCCATAGAGATTAAGTCTGTAAGTAGTCAGCATCTTTTGAAATATGAGTAAAAATTGTAGGAAGATATTTCCCAGTAAAGAGAATTATTTATTTTGGTTATTGAATTGCAGGGTCAATGGTACCAGATTAAAGGTAAGAGTAATATTATGGCTTGAAAAAGCTTCCCGAAGCTTTATTCAGGGACTTATAGACAATGGGCTAAGTAAGTCTTAAAATGTACTAATAGTGATTTTTAAAAATTGAATAGAAAGCTGATTTTGTTAAGTGTGATTATTTTCTAAAACATAAATATTCGTATTTTCTTTATTGTAATACTGAGGGCAGAACTCAGGGTATCATGCAAGCGAGGCCCTAAATCCTAGGCCCTTTTAATATTCTGAGTGAAAGCTTAGACATGTTTCTGAGATACTTTCAAATTTTTATGGCAAATTTTTTTTTTTTTTTTTTTTTTTTTGGGTCCAGTCGTGGAGCCTGAACTCTGGGCCTGGGCGCTGTCCCTCAGCTCTTCAGCTCAAGGCTAGCGCTCTACCACTTGAGCCACAGCGCCACTTCTGGCTTTTTTCTATTTGCTTATGTGGTGCTGAGGAATTGAACCCAGGGCCTCAGGCATGCAAGGCAAGCGCTCTACCACTGAGCCATCTTCCCAGCCCCTTATGGCAAATTTTCTAGAAGACTGAATTTTGGATTAAACTAGAACAATAAATCAGTAGTGGCTAATAAGTTTTTTTACAAAGAAGACAGTGCAGTTACATTTTTAACTTTATTATTTTTAATTAATTTGTGTGTGTGTGTGTGTGTGTGTGTGTGTGTGTGTGTGTATGTGCTAGGTCTGGGCTTGAACTCAAAGCCTAGGTGCTGTTCATAATATTCATTTGCTCAAGGCTAACACTTTACCACTTGAACCACAGCTCCACTTACAGCTTTTTGTAAAAAAAAAATGATTTTTAATAGTTTATTGGAGTTAAGAGTCTCATGAAGTTTTCTATCTGAGCTGGCTTTAAGCCACAATCTGCTGATCTCAGCTTCCTGAGTAGCTATGATTATAGGTGTGAGCTACTGGCTCTCATGCTTTTTTTCAAAAAACTTATCTGTTGTACAAAGAGGTTTCAATTCAGCATTTCAGTTTTTGAGTACAAAGCATGCCAAAGGCCTTTTTGTAATAACAATTTATACATATATATATTCATAGGTATATATACATATACTTCAGAATGTTAAGTCTTAATTAAAAGCAAAAGTAAGCTTCCCCAAAGAGTAATATTTATACATAAAATAAGAAATGTGTTTCAAAGTTTTACAAAGCAATTTTCCCAGCCTGGGTAAGCCTTCAAGAACTTTAAGAGCTTACCAACGTAACACAGGTAGTAAAATGTGGGAAAGATTTTCAAGGTAGCATTCTAATTGTGTCGCAAAGGAAATCGCTATGGTTTTATTCCCTTCCATCAGCTCCTTCTCTGGGTTGTTTATTAACAACTTTACTGAGGTATAGTTTGAAGGCTACAAAACTTATCCATTTTGTTTCTTGTTGAATCTCTTTGACCGTTGTACAGTGTGTGTGTGTGTGTGTGTGTGTGTGTTATGTTCTCTATCATCCCCCCCCCCCCAGATGTGAATCCAATCCTATCAAAGCTGATATAGTGTCTGTGGCACTCTAAGCAGTAATATAGACAGAAGTAAGACTTTAGTAGAGTTTATAAACGATCTGGTGCCTGCCTGACTAAGGGTGTGTGTGTGTGTCAACTTTCACTTCTCTTGTTCAGGAGATCCATGTCTAACTGGAAGCTGTCCAAAGCACTCTCTCTGGAGATGATTCAGCTCAAGGAGAAGGTGGCCAGATTTTCCTCATCATCCCCATTCCAGAACCTTGAGATTATCGCCACACTGGGCGTTGGTGGGTTCGGAAGAGTTGAGCTTGTAAGGGGTTTACGTTTCAAGCATCTGAGAGAAGCCTTTTGGCTTCTTTTTGTTATTGTTTTGTTTTATATTCCAGCTTATCTTGGAGGACTATATGAATTACCATTGCTATCTTAAATATTGTTTTGAACTCAAATTGGGAAAGCAAACTTTGCCATCTGTCTATTGTATAGCAGCCTGTCTGTGCTAGTAACATAATAACTAGCTGCAATTTCAAGCAATCCTTTAGTGAATGGCAACTATTGGAAAATGTGCCAAGTAAGCATTCCCAAGGGCTACAAATGTGAAAAAAAATGTATTTCCTAACAGCAAAATGTGTGTCTATAGATATATACACTCATAACACATTAACTCTATATCTGAGAAAAGGAATCCAGCCAACAGAAATTCTATAGAAGAAAAATCTTTAATATTTTAGTTGTAGTAATTAACTTCACTGCCATGTCTGCATTCAGTTTTCATTATCCTATATTGGAGCTGTTTAAAATTTTCCATCAGGGCAAAACCACAGAAAAGATGACTGCAAAAAGATACGTGAAGTACAGTCTCTGTAAAGCTCAGTAAAACAGCTGTAAACTTACAGCTGAGTTCAGTTGTATTTTCCACATCACCAACTGTCTGTGCTTCATAATCACCTTCCAAGGAGTAGCAGAAGTAGCTCTGTCAGTTTAAGTGTTCTAATGAAACTGTACAATGGAAATCTGTGGGCTTTTGAGGCACAGATGGTACTGAGCCCTTAGCAATTCCTAGACCTTCTTTGCCTACCAGATTTTTAACAAATCACTGTGCACTGACCTCCGGGAACTATGCTGATGCTTCCGTCTGCCGGATGCCCCTGGGAAGACCTAAACTGCTACTAAAAACCCCGGATAGCACTTCACACACAGTCCATACTTATCCTTGATGGGTGAAGGGGAATAATGATTTCATAATAGGGCACAGAATATTCATATGTGGCTTATGCCATATGCAGGTAACCATCTGTAGTGGTATGTCCCACTAAATGATGACACTAAAAGTTTGAATTAGGTTTAGAGGTGTGGGTCAATTAATACAGAGTTTGACTGCTCCTAAGTTTAGTCCTCAGTACTACCAGAAAAATAAGGGATTGAGTTAAAAATGCTGAAATCTGTTTTACTAGACAATTATTACAACAGTAATTCAACAATTGATTTAAAACTCATAGGTCATACTAACAGAATGTAAGCAACATATGGGATGCAGCTATTTCTGCATAATTTAGTATCATCTAATTATGAGTATAACCTACTTATTAGACTTCTTTTTTCTTCAAACCAGAATTTATTGGGTTTAAACCTGTCAGAGAAAAAGATACTTGCTTTAAAATTTTGTTTCCTTTTTAAAGGAAAGCTTTGATTTTTGAGAAACTAGAGCAATATTCAATAGAAATCTCTGCCCAGTTGGAAATGGGGGATAATACAACTGAGAAATTCAGTTTCTGATTTTTATTAACTTTAAGCAAGTTTGTGTCATTAGTTGTTACCCTAGTAAATAGTGCAGATATGGAACTCCATGTAGCACTTCTATTTCTTATTTTAAAAATGAGAGATGACAGTAAAAATCAATGAATAAATGAATTAAATCAGAAGTGAATATGGAAAAGTGAGAATTTGGGGCAATTCTTATCAAAAAGGCTTTTATGTTGTACAATAAAAATGGAATGACTCTTACTTCTCTTACCAAGAATTATTTTCTTGTTTCTATCCAAAAAAAATTTCAGCCCAAATCTTTAATTGTTTGGGTAATCTTGATGAGAAGGAAGTATATTCATGTCAATGTAACACCAGTCTAGAATGATACGTGGTTAATACTTGCATATAAGTGTGAGACCTGTTTAAGCTTCTAACATGTTTTATATAAATAGTGCAAGTGTTTCCTAGTAAGTTAATTTTGAAGATGCCTTTATCTCTTGTATAGGTTAAAGTAAAAAATGAGAATGTTGCTTTTGCTATGAAATGTATACGGAAGAAACACATTGTGGACACAAAACAGCAAGAGCACATCTACTCGGAGAAGAGGATCCTGGAGGAGCTGTGTTCTCCATTCATTGTAAAGTAAGCGAGCACAGGGCCCCCAGACATGTGTTTCTGGCTCATCTTTTCAGTGTTTGCATGCTAGAGGACAGAAGGAAGGAGGAAGGGCGCCTCCACTTCACTTGGAAGTCTCCAACAAGATCTAGGGGCAGAGTTTCTAGTTTCTTTTTGTTTATGGGTAAACCTCACAAAAGTGTGTGTGTGTGTGTGTGTGTGTGTGTGTGTGCATGAGCACACACGCTCATAGACTATCACAGCAATATATTTTGAAGTGGTTGTTTCATCCAAACCTGAGCCTTGCAATGCCTAAGTACCCAAGGAAATATCTCCTAATAGTTATGTTTTAATTTCTGGAGGTCTCACTGGAGTTTGGAGGAGAAACAGAAATTACTCTGAGCTATTACGTCTTTCATTTGTTAATTTGTAGATGCATTTATAGTATAAGCCAGTATATAATTTTCATAGTGCTCCAGTGTACAATTGTAGTGATTTGGGAGGGATACATGGTGTTTAATAATGAACAAAAATTATATTTTCATCAAATGCCTTGAGCAAATCATTCTTCCTGTGTTCCCAGATGATGCATATTACTATTTTTCAAGGTTAAAGCAAATCTAGATTCAAGGCAATGCTGCAATAATCTTCTAATTATCTTTATATTAATTATCTTCTCAGATACTCTTTCAAAATTACTATGATCAGAAGCTTAAGGGCATAGATTGGGGTGTATTCATTTTCTACTTCTAGGCCTTCATAAAGTATGTGACATATAGTAAGGCAATAATAAGAATAAGAATAAATAAGTGATGAACTTTACTAAAAGGCTAACATGCACCATGTACTCTTCTAAGAAATAATACATATATAGAGAAGGTGGGGAAAATCATCATATTTGTCTTACTAGCCTAAGAAGAGGATCAAGTGAATTCCTATTTTTTTCAATAAATATGTATCATCAATGACACATAAGTAATATACAATCAAATGAATATGTATGTTCTGTGAGAAAACTGAACTTGCATAACTAGTAATTGTTCAAGCTGGAATTTCAGCCTGGCTCTAAGGCTTAGTCTCTGAAACACTGTATTAGAGCTTCTTCCGCATGCACATGATCTGGCTGCTGTACTGTCTGCACTAGCCTGGGAATAGTGCTAGGAAGAAAAATTAATCTTTTAATCATTAAGATGATCCAAAAAGTGCTTTCACTCTATGTTAATAGGGTGCCACTACTAAACACCACTACAGAACTGAGCATTCTTTTCATGAGTACCATGCTTAAACCCTCTCTGGCCTTATTATTAGGTGAAGAGAATCACCTTGCTCACAATCTTGTCTTTTCAGGGCAATACAACTTCAATTCCTTAAAGGCGGAGCTTGCTAAAACTAAGTTACAGCCCAGCCCTCCCTCCCTTTGCCCAGTCTGCTTCCTCTTCTATCACCGCATATAATAGATGTTATTCTCAATCACTCTCTTTTAGATTTACTGCCTAGAAATCTCTGTCTCGCGGTCTGTTTCTAGAGGAATTTAATGCCAGATAATAAGTTTGAGGGCATAAAACATGAGGGCATAAGAAATAAAGGCATAACTTATTTGTGAGAAGCCTATCTTCAAAGTGCTATATACATAGACCTGTGGCTTTGGAGGGGAGAGGTGATATTTGGTAGGGGGGATAATGAACTGCTTTATTAAGAAGGGGCACTTGGAGCTTAGCCTTGGAGAAGGAATAAAACTTTCTCAGTGCAACTGAGACTAAGTAGGTCAGCCTGTGAGAAGAGGCAGAGCAGTGTAACTCCAGAGTTCCAGGAATGATCAAAAAGGACTTGGTAAGAAGCCCAGTTTAGCTGTAGGATATCTGTATGGAAAGGAGGGTCATTTTGCCCCCAATGTTATTGATGATGATTGTAAAGCAATTTTAAAGAGTTTTAAAACCATATTTCTCAAAATAACTTGTTTGCAAGAAGCCAGAAGTACAAAATGAAATCTAAACTGTATTTCTGTGTTCTTATCTGTCTTTACAGATTATACCGTACTTTCAAGGACAATAAATATGTGTACATGCTTCTGGAAGCCTGCTTGGGTGGAGAGCTATGGAGTCTATTAAGGGACAGGTAATGAAAAGAGTTAAAAGCAATAGTTTCTGTCTACTTCCATCTGGACAAGAAGATACTGTACTTAAGGGTCCTAAATAAGAACATGAAGATCACTTATGAAGGAGATCACTATAGAAAATATTATCACTTGAAGCCAGAGCCCAGGCTTCACACTTATAATCTTAGCTATTTAAGAGGCTGAAATTTAGAGGACTAAGATTCAAAGACAGCCTAGAGAGAAAAGTCTATGAGACTCCATCTCCAGTGTAGCAGGAAAAATGCTGACCTGGGGACATGGTTCAGGTGGTAGAATGCCAACCTAATAGGAAAAATGCTGACCTGGGGACATGGTTCAGGTGGTAGAATGCCAACCTAATAATTAGCACAAGCTGAGCAAGAGCTTGAGACACTGAGTTATAGTCCCAGTACTGGCAAAAGAGAAGAAAATACATTACATAATCTCATAAGCAAGTATTCATTGCAATGTCTGTCTTATGGATTAAAGAATTACAGCATTAGGGAAGAAGCTATCTGAATTTAAAGATGTAGTAGGGGTAGATTTACATATTTGCAAATTTTGAAGAGTTTGTGGTGGGAAGGGGCTAAACTCTTACTGAAATGCAGAATACAATGTCCATAAGGTCCAAGCTGAGAGCAAGGGCTCACACTTGTAACCCTATGAGAACCATGGTTGGGAACAGTATGATCAAAAAGTTCTGCCAATATGTGTTGTGATGAATGGCTGTCATTCCAGCTGTGGGAAGTGTAAATAGGAGGTTCTCAGTCCAAGAAAAGAGCAAAAGAATAAAAGAGCTGGAGGCATGACTTAAGTGGAAGAGTACCTGACTAGCAAGTGAAAGGCCTTAGGTTAAATAAAAAGATATCTAGAAAAGTTCAACTTCTCCAGAGGAGTGATTTCCGTTCAGTCAAAACCACAGCTAGTTACTAAGAACCACCTATGTTGAAGGGTCCATCTCAGACAATTTGAGGAGTTTCTGGGCAATGTAGATTTTCTATTCAAAGACTAAATTGTGTAAAAAACAAATGAACAAACAAACAAAAATCCCAAATTGTCAGGTGCTGCTGACTCATGCCTATAATCCTAGCTACTCAGGAGACTGATGTCTGAGGGTAGAGGTTAAAAGCAAGTCAGGGCAGGAAAGTCCATGAGACTCTAATCTCCAATTAACCACTAGAAAACTGGAAGTGGAGTTGTGGCTCAAAATGGTAGAGCCCTAGTCTTGAGCAAAATTGCTCAGACAGTACCCAGGCCATAAAGTTGAAGCACCATGAACAATAAAACAAAAAAATTAAAAGAAAGAAAAAAATAGAATTTATTTGGAGAAAGTATGTGATTATAAAGCATTGACACTGGCAACCTATGACTAAATGGGTAATGAGAGCTATAAATAGAAAGCTTAGAAGAAGGGAAAGAGAAAATATGATGCAGAAATGTTTGATGTAAACACTATATATCTACAAAACTTTGGAAAAGCAGAAAGGTAGAGAAAGACAAAACAGGAAGGTTGACATAGTATCAAATCTTTTGGATGATGAACATAAGAATATTTAGAACTAAATAGATTGTACAAATATAAGTGAAGCAGAAGAGGAAATAGGAATCTAATCCCCATTAGGTCATATAAGTTAAGGTTAAGCACACAGTCTCGCTGGGGACAGTGATTTTTCAACTGTGACTGCATATTATCATCATATGATGTTGTAGGCCAAACTTTATAATTCATTTAATCTGGTTTGGTGCCTGGTAAAGCAATTTAAAAAAAAAAACAAAATGTTGGTTGGGCCAAGCACCAGTGGCTCACACCTGTAATCCTAGCTACTCAGGAGCTGATATCTGAGGATCATTGTTCGAAGCCAGCCCAAGCAAGAAAGTGTGTGAGACTCTTATCTCCAATTAGCTACCAGAAAACTGGAAGTAGAGCTGTGGTTCAAAGTGGTAGAATACTATCCTTGAGCAAAAGAGCTCAAGCACAGAGCCCAGGCCCTGAGTTCAAGTCCCATTACAGACCTTACCAAAAAAAATGTTGCTTGGTACACTCATGGCTAAGAATCACTGACCTCAACAAGAAAAGTCTGTTGAAAATCAGAGAAGAAGATAAGCATGTTGTTAGAAATAACCAATAACATGTTCCTATCACAACATGCCACAGATGTCCAAAAGCATGTTTTCTTGTTTTTCTATTTTACGTGTTCATATGTGTGTGCTAGAAACAATTACATAAATGTAGACATTTTGATTTCAGCAACACCATTTGCATCAAATGTTTCCCTCAGTTCCTTTAGGATCAGCAGCCTAATTCATTGCTCTGAAAAAAATCCACATTATACAAATATGCAGTGTAATCATGGACACATAGAATAGCACCAAAGACATATATCTAAGATATTAAAAAGAAAAATGGTTTTATTCCAGAGGCAGCTTTGATGAGCCCACCTCCAAATTCTGTGTCGCTTGTGTGACAGAAGCATTTGATTACCTGCATCGACTAGGTATTATCTACAGAGACTTGAAGCCAGAAAACTTAATTCTAGATGCCGAGGGTTACCTTAAGTTGGTAAGCTAAGTTCTTTTATTTATAGTATCATATGAGATATTTCCAGAGCAAAGTTATAATTGTCATTTTCTTTGTAATTTATTAGAGCTGTTGTTTTCACTCTGGCCTTTGAAATTGGTGTGTAACAATGTTATGGATTCATTCTTTTGGGCTTGCAAGTTCAATGTGACAGCCATATTTGTTTCTCCTACTAAAGAGTTACAATATAATGGACTGCTTTCAAATTTAGATTTTTTTAGGGTTTTTGTGTAACAATTTTAAACTAGATTTTTAAGTGCTTTGTGTATAAGGACTAAGTATGAACAATAAAGAAAATAATGGAACTCCTGCACTATGATATCCAGATACACACAGAGGGAGAGACAATAAACACATAACAGGTGTTTGGAAATCTTTCCAAGTGAATCTAATAGGTAATGAATGATGAGAATCAAACTAAACCATAGGCCCTTTGAGGAAAGAGACTCTCCTTGCTATCTGTAATTCATTAATGCCCAGCAGAAAATCTTTTGAGTGTCATACTGTGCAGTAATGTTATCAGTCATAGGAACTACTTTCACAGAGAAACTATGTTAGAACTGGTATTGGTCATAGCTATGAAAAAATCAAGTTACTTTGGAACTCAAGAGGGAACCCCACAGGATGAGGAACCAAGGCTGAGATTTCCTGAGTCTATTTTGATAGCTCCCTAAAGACATTAAATCATTTCTGAACTTTACGATATTAAAAATTCTCAGGCTCAAACTCATATAAGGACATAATAACATTATTTACTGAACATTTCTTATGTGTAAAATATACTATGCTCAAACTTTTAAAATTAATCTAGTAATTGTGTGTGTGTGTGTGTGTGTGTGTCAGTCCTGGGGCTTGACCTTTGGGCCTAGTCTCTGTCCCTGAACTTTATTTGTGTTCAAGGCTAACGCTCTACTACTCGAGCCACAGGGCCACTTCCAACTTTTTCTGAGTAGTTTATTGGAGAGAAGAGTCTCATAGACTTTCCTGCCCAAGCTGGTTTCCAACCATGATCCTCAGCTCTCAACCTCCTAACTAAATAGAATGATAGGATGAGCCACAGGTTTCTGGCTCTATTTAACAATTTTTAAGATAGGTTTTTATAATATATATGATATAATTATGAAATTTAACCTTAGTGATTAAATTACTATATATGGTTATGAAAAGCATTCTCCTTGTAAAGTAAAATAAAGTCTCTTTCTGTGTGAAATTTTGCTAACTTCCAAGAAATGTTTTGGTCCATTCAAGTTTTTTTTAACCCATGAAAGACAGTATGAGATCGGAAGTACTGACAGAAGTCTCAAACACTCCTTTTATTCACAATTCCTTCATTGGCTGTGTCTCTAGAGCTCTTTAGCTTCAGAGGAAAATAGAAATCCTTTGACATTCTAGAAGTAAACCATTATGGGGGAGGGTTAAGGTTCCATGACTGTTATTTGTCCTGCTCATTCATTCGCCAGCTACTTAAATAAACAGTAAAAACTAAAACATGTAAAGATTAAAGAGTAAATGTTGAGGGCTGGGAAGGTGGCTCAGTGGTAGAGTGCTTGCCTCACAAGCATGAGGCCCAGAGTTGGATTCCTCAGCACTACATAAGCAGAAAAACCTGGAAGTAGCCCTGTGGCTCAAGTGGTAGAGTGATTGCTAGCCTTGAGCTGAAGAGCTGAGGGACAGTGCCCAGGCCCAGAATTTAGGCCCCACAAATGACTAAATAAATAAATGTTGAGCCAGGCACCGGTGGCTCACACCTGAAATCATAACTACATAAGAAACTGAGATCTGAGGATTGTAGTTTGAAGCCAGCTCTAGTAGAAAACTATTGAGATTCTTATCTCCAATTAACCACTAGAAAATCAGAAGTAACACTGTGGCTCAAAGTGGCAGAGTGCTAGCCTTGAGCAGAAAAGAAAGAAGGGGGAAAAAAGCTTAGGGACAGTGCTCAGGCCCTGAGTTCAAGCCCCACAACTGAAAAACAAACCCCGAAAAGTAAATCTTGAATATTTCTGCTCTACGTATGTATTAAACTAGCATCCTGAAATCCTTTCATTACAACAATGTCTGAAAATACTAGAAAAGACATGACAAGCAGTATTACAAATGCATGGCTGAGTTCATAGCACAGCATAAGTCTGAGAACCAAGGCTAAGTAGTAGTTGATGGTGAAGGTCAACATGGAAGCTGCCATCTTGTGAGTGCCAGCAACACTTAGCTGTTGAGAGGCTTCATTTTAATAGCTGTATACTTTAGTAGATGAACAGGATACCACGCTCTGGACATCGGCAATACATAAAAGTTGAATCAGAGAACATTATGTATAGATCCAGGTATCACAGAAATTAAACTTTCAGAGGGAAAGAAAACAGGAAACAAATATCAAATGTATAAATATAAAATACATCCTGGAAACATGCCTTTCTTATTTTGGTTCTTGGTAGATGAACAGAAAAGTCTCCTCTAAGAATTCTTGGCCACTAGCTGGGCGCTGGTGGCTCACGCCTGTAATCCTAGCTACTCAGGAGGCTGAGATCTGAGGATCGCGGTTCAAAGCCAGCCCGGGCAGGAGAGACCGTGAGACTCCTATCTCCAATAAACCACCAGAAAACCGGAAGTGGCGCTGTAGCTCAAGTGGTAGAG